GGGTTGGGGCGGGGCCGGGTCCCCATGGAGTGTCCTCCTTTTTAAAAACTAAAAAATGGTAACCCTACTCTAGCCGGGCTGCTGGGTGCAACTGCACCCCCAGATGTCACACACCTAGCCCTGGCCCCCCCAAAGGGGGCAAAACTACCCTCCCAAGCACCCCTATCTGGGCCGCTTTTAAAGGTGCCCCAACAATGGGTTGGCTACTCTGCCTAGCAACAAGTCTCCCCTAGCCAATCGAAAAATCACATTCTGTTCAACCTCCTCTGCCAATTACAGCGACAGAGGAAGAAAGGTTTGTCGACCTGGCAAGATGGTCACCCAATCACAAAAATACACCAATGGGAAAAATCAGGCTGGGCCCACCCACATTGCTATTCTGCCTAGCAACTCTTCCCTAAGTGGCTAAGGCCCAGTAAAAACAGAATAGATTTAGCCCATCAGGAAGGGAAGTTAGGTGATTGACAGACCAATATTAACCCCTTGTGAAGGGAAGGTTTCATGCCTTTTCCCTGACTCTGGGATGAGTTGCAGACCCAGAGACTCTGAGTGGCAGTAGATGAGTCAGTGGGTCTCAGGCCCTGGGACGGGGTTTAGCCCTCCCCCCTACACACATACACGTGGTGCATGGGTGAGAATCAACAGCTGGGTAGTACATGAGAGATGATGGGCAACGTGCAGCTAGGCTGAGCAGGGAGAAGTTGTGTTTGATGCAATGGAGAAGGGGAGCCAGTGACATGGCAAAAGCGACAAGCTAGGGAAATTATCTTTGCAGCCCCGTAGATATAAGCAGAGCAAGATTGTGTCACAGCATGCATTGAACGTACCCCTCCTCCCCTGGGCAATTCACCTTAGCCAAAGCACAGCTCCCTAGCATTCCTGCTGAAAAGGCCCTCACCTGCACGTGGCTCTAGCTGCCACACAGAAGGCTGCACAGATTCTCTGATGAGTAGATGAGCATCGTCATCCTTCCAACAAGTCACTCCTCAGGAAAGAAATGTGGATGTGCTTCCTGGAACATCACAATGACTGTTCAAACAGCATTTCCTGCAGGGTCTGCCCTGCTCTGCCACCAGGGGCATTTCTTCTACAGGGCTTTGCTTCCAGGAGTGGCTCCTGGCTGAGTTCATGAATAAAAAATAACGGCACAAGTACCAAATATCCCCCCACCCTGCAGCCTCTCCACTCTCCGTGGCCAGAGTGCCAGACTGTCTCACAAACCAGTACATCCTGTGTCTCTAATAGCAGCTTCTGGCTGCGTTGATAAGTTTGGCTGTAAACTAACCAGCCCTCCTTTTCCGGAAACTGGCAGGAGAGGATTATCTGGATAAGTATGAGTCAGTTTCCTGTTCCGTGGGGGAGCTGGGGGAAGGAAAGGAACTAACCTTATAAACCGAGAACTGCTGCATTTTGAAATACCAGGGTGAAGTAGGCTCTGAACATTAAATGCCAAGTGGCACATCACTAGCTACGGGTCTGCTGGAATCCACTGTGCGCTGCTAAAACGGAGACATCTCTTAAGCTTCAGTCCTTTATTGTTATTATTTATTGGCCTAGTACTGCCCTGTCCTAGCCAAGGGTTGCCAAGTGCTTCACAAACACTGATGTACATACATTCCTCTCTCTCACACACACACCCACGGGCTGTGGAGGAAAAACGTCTCTTCAAACATCGATAGGAATTCATAGAACGTTGTCCTTTCAAAGTAGCGTATCATACAAGCTGCCCAGGGTTACACAGCCAGTCAGGAGTAGAGATTGTGTATAACACAACAGCCCTGAATCCCAGTCTCACTGCTCTAACCACTCTGCCCCAAGCTGAGAGAAGAGACCAGGAGTTCAGACTCACAATCCCCTGCTTGCTTGAGGCCACTGTTTGGTGGGCAAGCAGAGGAGTTGATTTTTCCAGACTTCTCCTTTAAGCTCTTTCCAAGCTGTGTTCCCCGAGGCAAACAATTGAAAATTTCCAGGTTTTGGCTAAAATATTTCAAATACTGATTTTTTGCTGCAAATTTGACATTTTTCCTAAGGGGGAAAGAACCATTTTCTGACCAGCTCCAATAAAAATGTTATTCTTAGTCTTCATATGGCATCTCTTGCCTGAGGCTCTCAAAGCACACACACTCACAACATCCCTGTGAGACAGTGAAGTGCTGTTACCGCCTTTTCGCTGCTAGGTACATGCTGGCCACAATGAGGTGAAGTGACTTGGCCAAAGCCATGCAGCAAGTCAGTGACAGAGCCAAGAGCAGAACCCAGGAGTCCTGATTCACAGCTCTCGTCTCTAACCGCAAATCAATATTGTCACAAGTTTCACTGTTGTGAGAAACTGTTGTACATTCAGTTAAAACTTATCACAAATAGTATTAGTGAAGGGACTCGTTTATTCTAATTGCGTTAATCGTGTCTCAGACTGCCATTTTCTGTGGACTTGTACAAATCACTTAATTTTCCTGCCTCAGTTTCCCCATATGCAGATAATAATGATCAGGGGGACTAAGGGTCTGGATCAATCACAGCAGAAGCTGGTGGCCTTTGAAAGTGGGCAGGAGAAACTGAGGCTCGAAGTGACACTTGTTAGTCACAGCCAATTTACAGCAGCAGGTATGAAGTCTCTGATTCAAAATAAGGCAGGAAATATCCAGCTCTAAGAGGCTGCCACTGATTATCTTTGCAGATGAAAAACACTCCAAAAGGGCGATGTGTCGTTAATAAACAGGGATTAACATCATTGAGGGTCTGGGAGGAAGGAGATAAAACAAAACCTGAACTGAGTAGAAAAGCTGGGGCCCTGGAGCCCTGACAGCCGGTTTCACAGGCCTCTGGCCGCTTACCTGCTCTCCGGCCCAACGCCCGTCCTGCTCTCCACCCTTCCAGCCATGGTTTCCAGGAAGCTGACAGGACTGAGTGAAGTATAAGTGAAAGTTTTCTGCATGGGAGGTTTGTGAAACTAATTTCTCTCCTTTTAAATAAGAAAGAGACTATTTGGAATAACAGGGATTTGCAAGGGTTAAATAATGGGAAAGAAACACAGCAGCAGGCAGAAGTCTGCTGGGATCTTCTAAAACACAGACCCTTCTGTCCTTTAATTATTTCCTGTCATCCGTCGTTCCCGCCCCCAGCGGAGGTTCTCAGTGTGCTTTACAGACACTAATGGTCTAAGGCCTTGTCTCCACTGGCAAATTACTGCGCAGTAAAGCAGCTTTCTGCAATGTACGCACTGCCAAGCCACTTAGTGCGCAGAAACTCCTCAGTTGCAGCGTTGCAAAAAAACCACCTTGACAAGAGTCCTAAGCCTAAGGCCTTGTCTACACGGCCACTTTACAGCGCTGCAACTTTCTCGCTCAGGGGGGTGAAAAAACACCCCCCCATGCTGCAAGTTTCAGTGCTGTAAAGTGACAGTGTAGACAGTGCACCAGCGCTGGGAACTACTCTCCTCGTGGGGGTGATTTTTTTACTCTCCCAGCGCTGGTGCACTGTCTACACTGTC